AAAATCATTTAATTAAAGAAACATTATATGATTTATAAATATACTTATTATTCACATATATTTTTAAATAGACGAGAAAAATTTACAACTTACCTATAAATTCGATTTTAAGAAATTTGATTGTGTTTTTTATTCCAAACAATCTGATTGACGATAAATTTTCCTTAGAACTTGAATTGAAAATTTGAAATTCAAAATCCCTTCTCATTTTAGTTGCCATAAAATTAGGTTTAATTCAAAATCTCTTCCTAATATAAAGGATTTTGTTAAAATTGAATTTCAAAATATCTAAACACATGCTTCTATCCATATCCTTAAATGAAGGATTTTGTGCCGTTTTAAAATTAACAAACCTATTGGAAATTACAAAAATCATAATGAATTTCCATTTTTTTTTTTTTCAATCTGCACGAAATTCAAAATGGTTTAAGAATTTCAAATCAATTGAAATTCATCTCTTTAATTATTTTCCATAAGTTTCAAAATTTTACAATAATTAAGTCAAATTACAAATGTATTGAAAATCAAGAGGATAATTTTGAAAATAGACAATTTTTTTTTCCAAAATTGTCTTCGTCTCCGTTCAATAAATCTACATAAAACGTGAAATTTTATGTCTACAAAATTTCTTTTCACATTAACTAAAAAATAATAATAATTTTGAAACTTTTGTGCTCAAATTACTTAAAAGAATAATAATAATATTTTTCAAAATTTTTATACTCAAATTACTCAAAAGAAAAATAATAATTTTGAAATCTTCTATACTCAAATTTTACGGTAGTATCGTCATTATTTTCAACACCATGTCAATATTTATTTTATATATACTAGGTAAATTTTCTTTCAAAAACTTTATAATCTATTTATTTAGGCTTATAATATTTTATCATGTCATATTGAGAAAACATCTTTCATACAAATGTAAACTTTAATATTTTTAGTTATATTTTCTTTACAAAATAGTTAGAAAAGTTGTAGGTAACTTCACATCTTTTAATAATAATATAGAAAATTTTAGATAATTTTACATATGTTAATACAATATTTTAGAAGTTTTTAGTTGTTTAAATATACAAATTTTATGTTCTCTTGAACAATCTAATTTTATATAGTTTATAATAAACTGATATACCGTAAATTATATGACATGTTAATCTCACATAGTTAATTTATAATTATTATTTAATATCGTTTACCCTCATCTTTAATTTATAATATATTTTCTTGCTCTTTTAAGAGATGATCAATAGTGGTTCTCCACTTCTTTCATTTGGAGACTCGAACTCGATACTTATTTATAATTATTATTTAATATTGTTTACCCGTGCATCGCACGAGATACGCACTAGTTAGGAGAAATTGAACCTGACATTTTTTTACACCAAAATAATCGAACCGAACAATACTAAAATGCACGGTTCGATTTGGTTTTTTGTTTTATCTCGATTTTATACATTTTATTCAATTTGGCGTGGTTCGGTGCACATTCTCACCAAACCGAACATAATAAAAAACCGAAATTATGAAAAACTAAAACCGTACCGCAAGAAAAAAACTGGACCGAATATTTTTTACACTAAAAAATGGGAGTCGAATTGCACTGAATTGCACAGTTCGACTCGATTTGCTCCACCATAGCTATTGCTATCCAAAACTTTACCCATCTTTTTATTTTTACCACTCCAAAGATCTATTTATTTAATTAACAATAAGTCGGTATAGTTAGGAGAAATACCATTGAAATTCAATGATTATTGAAATTCAATATCAATAATCCTACCGAAAATTCAGATAGCCTGGTTTTGTAAGTTCAGTTCACTTCAGTATCCGAGATGAGTAATGCTAGCCTACAAGTACATAATAGTGTACATAGCAGTCTACATAACACTCACATTGAGTGGGACCCACTAAAAATACAAAATCAAGTGCACCCTACTCCATGTGAGTGTTATGTACACTTTTATGTACATTTATTATGTACATGTAGTATTTTTCATTCGAGATTATCGGAATAGTTCGATTTGCGTTGGAGTTATATAATATTTTAATTATTTTCTTAAAAAAAATTGAATGACGATATGTTTACATATTTAAATTATGATTTTTTTTTAAAAAAAAAA